CTTCAGCCGGTTCTTTTTCGTTTTTTCCGTTTTCGTTCCCTGTAGTAAGTTGACACGAGGCGTCACATTGACTGTCAGCTATTCTATACAGCATGTTACTATGTTGTAGTATCTTATTTGATATTTTCAATGTACATATGTAAAACAATTCATAGCTGAAAGTTCTTATTGAACTCGGTGTATTAACTTCCAAATCATTTCAGTTCTAATATACTCTCAGTGAGAACGCTTGACTTTTGCGACCAATCGCTTCAACTCCTCGGAACTAGACTCCTTGGAGGACTTCTTCTGCTTCTTCTTGCTATCCAGGTTCTCTGTTGGAGCCTCAGCCTCGGCATCATCACCGGTACGTCGGCGCTTACGGCCCTCGTCCAACAGGGCCTTCATGCCGGAAGTAGACTTGAACCGGGGATTGGTAGGATCAATGGCGAAATCATGAGTGTCGTACAGACGTGAGAAACGGGGATCGCTGACATTGACTTCAAAGTCATCTGTCTGGGCAAGTTCCACCTTCTTGCCCTTCTTGCCCTTGCCCTTCTTCCGGGCCTGTTTCTCGGCCTTTTCAATCTCGTTCATGTCGAAGTGTTTGATGTTGATCTTTTTGTCATCTACCATCAGCAGCTCCAACTCGGCTCGTTGGGCAGCTGACGCGGCTTCCTCGGCAGCACGCTCCTCACGCTTCTTGCGCCTCTCCTCCTTGCGTCGAGAACCTGCTGTGGCCTTTCCATCGGGGTCATCAAAGAAGGGATCATTGAATCCCATTTCTTCTTCCTCTTGCTGTGGTACCTCGGCTGGGCCCACCTTGGCTAGATCAGCTTCATTGTCTTCACTGTCCGCCGCAGCGCCATCCTCTGTAGATGACTTGGCCTTGAGTTTCTCCTTTCGGCGCTTTTTGCGCTCACGCTCCTTCCGCACATACTTGTCAATCGTGCTTTCTTCGATCTCCGGTTCATTTTCGAAGATAGTATCCTTGCCATGGCCGCCAGCCAAGCCCGATGTGAAAGTAACCTCCATCTCGCCGACGGGGCGTTCCTCTCTGGTGCGGGTAGGCTCGACGCTCAGACCCAGCAACGCACGCATGCGCTGTCTCTCGGCCTCTTTCTTGGATAGCTTTGTGGTTGTAGCTTCTCCTGCAGTATTATCGACAACTTCGACGCCTCCGTCCTCGTCATCCGATTCTTCGTTCTCGGAACTATCGCTACCGAGGTAGGCTTTCAGGTCATTCTCGTCAATGTCCTGACGTGAGCCCCGGAAGGCACGTGCCTGGGCTTCTTTTCTTGTTTTGTCATCCGCATCCCATGTCAATTTGACCTTGCTGTGCTGCAAAGCATCCGTTACAAACTCAGTAGGCTTGTAACCGTCGGGGATCCGAGAACACTCGTCCCGGGACTTGTCGTCGGAGAAGTCAGTGTCCTCAGGCACGAAGCGAAGATCGAAGAAGTTGGCACTTGATAAATATTCAACACCATCCACCAGATCGTAGACATGCTTTGCGACGTCTTTTGATGAAAATTTGATAATGGCGTAGTAATACCGCAGTCGGTCGAGCTGATACCGCCGTAGCTGTGTAGAGTTGAATTCTTCACCATCGTCAGCCTTCAACATGGACTTCTTAATTTCCTCCTCTTCGGAATCTTGGCTGGTGTTCTTTTTCTTCCCAGAAGCAAAAATCTCTTTCGGGGGGCCTTCAACCTCCTCCCTCTCCATGCGCTCCTTTCCAAATTCGCTAGGGTAGACTGTGGCGTTCAACACTCGCCCCCCAGACGGAAGGAAACTGGAAAAGACTGCCATCAAGTCCTCGGCACGAATATTCTCCCAATCGAGGTTGACAACAGCTATCCGATCCGTCACTTCGCCGAGTGGCACATCGGACCGTTGCTCGTCCGGGAACTCGATCACATCCTCATCCGCCTCGTCTTCTTCTTCGTCGGAGCTTTCTTCTTCAGATGACGAGGACTCAAAGCCGCCATCACGGGCAGGATCATATGAAGCAGCATTGACCCGTTTCAATTCTTTCTGGACATCTTCGTCGTCGTCGGCACTGTCCTCATCCTCGTCTTCATCTTCATCCACCTGGTAAAACTGCTTCAATTTTTCCTTAGTGTCGTCTTTTCTAAGCTTTCGTCCATAACGATCGACAGGAGCGTTGCTGGAGAAATCCTTGTCGTCTAGCACATGCGCAAAGCGCTTATCGAGTTTGACGTGAGTCTGGCGTTTGCTGGGAAGACGGTAGCGAGGATCGGTCTGGATGTTCGCAAATCGAGGATCCGCTACAGAGACACAAAGAGTCAGTAATCATGGTCATGAGGTTTCCTGAAAACAAAGTCTTAAGCTTCCGCTGGACGTACTGATTGCTGGACCGGCTTCGCCTTTGGACTTGCCAGCCTTGGACTTTTTCTTGTCTGAGCCTGCCATTGTGAGCGCTAGGAAATTTCACTTTGCACACCACAAGCAGCAAGAAAATTATTTCAATGCTTGAGTATCAATAGATATCGTCGGATTCAGCAAGTGAAAATAGTCGAGACCAATAAATTATTTCTTTTTTTCTGCCGTCGAAGTCAGGGCGGTCAGGCACGTGTATTCTCAAAATGGCAAGTCTTCTTTTGACTTTCCCATGTAGAACAACTTGACAACATAAATTGTAATAGTATCTACTTAAACTTGAGTAAATCTGCAACTTTTTTATAAATATGCTTTTGCTAAGTGACAATCCTAACAACCCACTGCTTAGTCTCGGAGATAAATCATAGGGGGTGGATCAACATATATACTTGAAGACGCAACAAATTAATGAATATTTCAGCATCCGAAGTATCGCTTCTCTATCCAGCGCGGTTCTCCTTCTTCTTCGATGCGTCCAACAATCACATTGATCCTAGGGTATACGGCAGTGAGCCTCTTAAGGCCCCGTTCACCTGCTGCGCAAGTTACGAAAACGATCCTCCCTTGTTCCACCCCATGATCAATCAAGACGCGAACAGCCATAAGTGCAGCACCTCCACTGGACATCTGAGAGTCAATTAGTATGACAGTTGTATGCTCTTCGATCCGAGACGGAAGTTTCAAGTAGTGCAACTCTGGCTCCTCGTTGCTCTCGTTCGTTTGAATGAGCAAACGACCAGTGAGACAGTCGGGAATAGATCGCTTAAGCGCGGTCTCCATGCAAGAGCCTCCACGTAAGATAGCCACGGCTGATACGATACCCTTGGGGTGCAAACCGAGGTACGTGCTCCCTTGTGGTGTTTCCACATTTGCGGATACATACGATGTCATATCCAGGGCCCTGCAACAGTGGTGTCAGTAAAGCAACTAGAAGGCGCTATGCTCACAGGACTCAAGTTCTTCTGTGGGCGTATCGTTGGGAATGGGAGCATGAGGGAGCGCAGTACCTTTCAATCAAGATCGAAACCAGTCGATCAAAGTAAAATATGAAATCCTCTTGCTGGGTTTCTTGGATCTGCAGAATAGTATTCATGCCAATAATCTGCGGTGTCGAGGGCAAGACGTGCACATTTGAAGGCAACTCCACTTCTGCTGCAACCAAACCTAGTTTGCGAAGCGCTTCGGTGTGGTTATCAGATTTCTCCTGCAGCTTGCGTTGAATGTGTTTGACCACCATGTCTGAATCAGTTAGTGTACAGGTCTCAAAACGAGCAGCTCCAGGGGTTGCACACCAATAGCGGTCTTGTTCTCAATGCCACGCGGGATAATGATGTCTAGGATTCAAAATTAACAATAATATCCCAATGCTTTGTAAAGTCATATGGCTACCAACCCGAGATAGAGCGTTGAGGCTCCACAAAACGAGTGTAAGAAGGCTTCACAAATTCAAACCATTGTTTGATGATTCCTTCAATATCCCGCCCTCGCTCACGGACGTCACGCAAGACTATACATTGTCAGCTGGGTTCAGGTAGCCCGGTTGAGATAACTTACTCCTGCGACCTAAGCACACATCCATATCTGCTTCAACAAAGATCTGGGCCATCAAATTAGCACGGATAAGCACAATGATAGCACAGAAACTATAATACCTTCACATCCAACATCTCGACAATTCTAGGATCATGGAGCGCCAAAATACCCTCGAGAATGATCACATGGGGGGAGTAGAGGGTGGTCGTATTAGGCTGCCGCTGGTGCTCAGCAAATGAGTAAATTGGGATGTTCGCTTTCTTTCTGTGTGATATTCAGTCAGGTCAAATAGAAGGACTCTAGCAAGAACAGTAAATTTACCCTTTCTTCAGATCACGGAGGGTTTCCACCAGAATATCAAAGTCAATCGATTCCGGGCAGTCGAAGTCATATTCATTTGCGTGGGCCTTGTGGTGTTGCTCAGGAGTTAAGGTCTTGTAGAATGAGTCCTGTATGGAACACATTAGAACAAGGTCTCGATTTATATGCAGTCCACAAGCTGTACCATTACAAGGATCACCACCCACGGCAAGTTCAAAGACTTGACAACCTCCATTGCCACAGAGCTCTTACCGGAGCCAGAGCTGCCAGCAATGCCAATAATGCTCAAGTCCTGCCATGGTGGAGAATATCGCACTTCGGTGGACGAAGAAAATAAAGGCGAGATTGATTCCATGTCTACGTGTGCGACATACAACGCTGTACTTTGTAGGTATCTTGACCCTCTCCACCCCTCTGGTTTCGATTATGACAGCTTGAAACTGTCCAGGTGGAGAGCCCCGGGCCCACGATAATTACCTAATCTCTAGTCCCAAAGCGGGTTAGTCGAGGGCCATTTCCTGGAAGTTCCAAGATTGGCTGCTCACGTGCTGCTTATGGCAGAGGTTTGTAATCACCAATTTCGGCCTAGCGTACTACTTTCGCTTAAGCTACTTCTTCCGCCGCGAGCTTTTCACTTCCTTTTCTCTTTCGCATCCAACTCCCACACAGCGATTTGCCTTTCCCCATGGCTGTCGTATCTTGGGTTGCCTTCCAGCTTTACGGATAGCTTCAGATCAGATTCAAGACTGGCTATCTAGACCATAATGTCTGCTAATGTTGTATGCTTCTCGGCTTGACACCCGTGGTTGCTGGCCTTTTAACACAATGCAGATGTCTCGCACTTCGTCGACTGCGACGCCTACATGGCATCACTTCGAGCGGAAGCTCGAAGAGGTCAAACCATCTAAAACGTGAGTGACCTCTATTCCATCCCCATCCGCCTACACCACCGTGACATGATGTTCTTGAAATTAAGTTGGGAATCTCTCTGAAAACATGTGAGGAAAAACAAATTTGACTTATCCTTCTGATTCACGTCACCACTGCACAATTTTCATTAATCCGTTGAATCAATGGTTACTGACAATTACATTGCAGCGATATCAACTATTTGGTCATGGATTACCTCATCACCAATGGCTATCCCGCTGCTGCGAAGAAATTCGCAGTGGAGGCCAACATCCAGCTCAGAACGGATCTTGAAGCCATCCAAGAGCGGGTTGAAATTCGCACTGCAATTCACTCTGGTGATATCCAGGCGGCCGTTGAAAAGATCAATGAGCTGAATCCTCAGGTAAGAAAATTTTTCCCACTAGTCTACTTCACATCCCTCGGCCCCACTTCTTGCTATGATTATACGGAGTTTCATGCACCACTCTTAAATTCCCTTCGGGGATATTTGCAGAAAAACAAACATCTTCAGTCCTCAGTATGAGCAATTGCCAAACATCGAATCTTATCAGCATATCACGCATTTTATGTCAAGTGCCATGGCTAACAAGACTTCAATAGATCCTTGATGAAGACCCGTCTTTGCACTTCTCCCTCCTACGTCTCCAGCTGGTTGAGTTGATCCGGACCTGCATGGACACCCCTGGTAGCGATATTGCTCCTGCTCTGGATTTTGCGACGGCACAACTTGCACCCCGCGCCCCTACAAACCCTCAGTTCTTGGCAGACCTCGAGCGGACTCTTGCCCTTCTTATTTTCCCCAGTGATAAACTGGCCCCATCGCTTGCGTCGCTCCTGGACCCTGCACTTCGTAAAGAAATCGCAACCCGAGTCAACGAGGCAATTCTGCAGAACCAGGGTGCTCGTAAAGAGGCCCGGCTGCGCAATCTTGTGAAGACCCGGGCATACGCCGAGCTAAAGGCACGAGAGGCCAAAAAAGACATCCCAGATACCTTGGATATTGGCTTGGTCGGCGATTCTCACGACAACAGTAACAGTAATGACCTTGCTACTAACATTCGTGACACTCTGATGTCGAACAACAGCGACATTGATCCAATGATCTCCTGATCTAACTTGCCTTTCAAGCTGGCCTTGATTGTCGCTTATATCCCCCTATTTTGTCAAGGCAGGATCTCTCCTCCTTTTTGGTCTCTTCTAGCGCGGCGTCTTGGATCCACATTTCTAGGTGTTGGGCGATGGTATCTCGCTAGCTCCAATAATATGGGCGTTTCGACGATCCCTTTGTAATACAAATGGCTATTTCAATATTTATTCTGACCACCTATTTCTGTCCTCAACATGGTAGTTTTGTACTCCGTAGCGTAATATCACTTGATTATATTTGAAAAGCTCCCTGGTGGAATGGATGCAAACAATGCATTGACGTATGCAGCAACAACCAGTGTAGCAAGAACGATAGCTATCCCACGCAATAAATTAACCCGCAATATGAATCAAGAGTGGCTATGAAATCCGATAAAGCAACAAAAGCAAGATCTAGGAGAGATCTTAAGCAACCAAAATACCCCCGGGCTCGCTGCCTGCCGAATATTGAAGATGAAATCTATCACAAATGTCTCTAGATCAACAACAAATGACAGGACACATACGAGGCAAAATTGGCTTCTTTAGAAGCTCATGAGATCTGGAGAATAGAAAGTATTAGCAAAGCACGAATTTTGATGGAGAAATAATGAGAAAGTAGAAGACATACCTCTTCCAAAGAGCGCTCTCTTGGCCCAATCCATGGCCAGCATGCACCGCGTGCGGAAGCTGACACTCTCAGCAAAGTAAATACTACGCCAAAGATACATAGCAATGACGCCACCACTGAAGCTTAAACCACCCAAGTCAAACACAGCAGCGTTGCTGATATACGCCAGGCTTCCGAGGTGCTTATACTTGAACGCCTTGTAGACAGCCTCGTCGAGGTCACCGTAGTCGACCTCGTTGGCCCTGAGACCGGGAAGCGCGGCGGCAATCTTGGTCAGTTTACGACCCAGGTACACACCCTGTTGATTAGCGCGCTGAGCAGTGGCGGGCAGGGACGTGAGCTTGGTGTCGATCTGGTGCAGGAGCTCGGAAAGCTCGCCGTAGTCAAGAGTGCCAGATTGGTCCTTGTCGTACAGCTCAAAGAGCAGATCCAGGCGACGGAGATGATTTGTGGCTTGCGGGAAGCGTCTCTTAACCCGAGCGGCGAATTCGGTCCATTCAGAGAAAGTAAGGTGCACTTTTTCGGGGTCGCGGCCTTTCTCCCAGGCAACGGTGCGGAGGAACCTGATGATGTTGTCTGCGATGTTGTTCTGGACTGTTGAGCAGTCGCCAATTGCGTAGACGTCGCCCAGGGGAGCGCCAATCACGCGGAGATGGGAATCAGTTTCGAGAGCGTGCTTGTTGTTTTGGCCTTCCAGTTCATTAGAGAGTTTTTCTGAGATCTCGGCTCGGGCTAAAGAGATGTTGTTAGACCTAGTATATTGAGTAATGGCGTTAGTGCACTAACCAACTCCAGTGGACCACAAGCAGAATCCCATTGGGATTTCTTTTACAACCGTCTTGCCCTCTTCCACCTGTGAGAAAAGAACCCGGTCATTACGCACTTCCCTGACACGGGCGTTGGTCAACACCTCAATGCCATCGCGAGTAAATCGGCTCTGCAAGACGTCAATATCAGACAAATTCCGAGGGGGGTTCAGATGTAGAGAAAACATACCTCGGCATACTTAGAGAGTGCTTCGTCGTAAGTGTTCAGGATGTGGGTTCGACTTTGGATGATGTGAACAGAAATCTCGTTCCGTACAATGCGAGGGAAAGAATGAAGCAGATCTTCGTTTAAGAGATCGAACAGTTCGGCAGCGAATTCAACACCGGTTGGGCCACCTCCACATACCACGAAAGACAGCAGGCGTCTGCGCTCTTCATCAGATGTGGTGGGGAGGCACGCTAGCTCCATATTTTCTAGAACCCTGTTCTTGATTCGACGAGCGTCGTCAATCGTCTTCAGGAAGTTACAGTGCTCAAGGCCTTTCACGCCGTGTGGGTTTGTTACACAGCCTAGTACATAGACATGTTAATACTTTTTGAACATGAACCTGCTTGTTCTTTGTCACAACGTACCGACTCCGATGACCAGCTTGTCGTATGGAAGATAGAAATTCTTTGTCTGACCATCTTGGCCAACCTGGGATACTTCCACCAGCTTCGCAGAGAATTCGACATCAACCGCAGAAGCCTTGAGGAAGTGACCATTGACCCGGTCGATAATGCGCCGAACGGGCTCAACCAGCGACCGAAGACCCAAAGTTCCAACCGTAGCAGAAGGCAACATGGGAGTAAACAGGAAGTAGTTAGTAGGTGAAACAACAGTGACATGGTAATCGGCAGGGTTCAAGTTCTTAAGGAGCGCGACGCTACCCCAGCCCGTTCCCAGGATAACCAGACGAGGTTTATCCTTCTGCCGAAGCATAGCCTCCGAGTCATAGTCACCAACCAGCACATCGGCAATGGGCAAGTTCTTCGGGCCTCCGATTCGAGGATTGAGAGCCAATTCCGAGACCGGGATGTCCGTCTCCTCGGAGCCTGTGCGGTATGTACTAGCATCGTAAACGAAGAAGGCGACGACCACGGTGCCGGAGGCGACGATGAAGAACCCGAAGAATGTAAACACCTTGCGTATAGCATTAATAGTACGGGACCCTGCCAAACGTTCGACTTTAGCTGCGGTTTCTGATTTGAATCGGACCCGCATCGAGACCGGCGCCAAGACTCGGCATTGGGGGGCTGGGCGCCGATGAGGAGTGTGTAAGGAGCGGGACAGAGGTCGGCGAAATGTAGCTGATGGTCTCGAGGCATGAATCCGGCCTGGTAATGCCCCTATCGACTTCAGCGCGGCGGCGTCCGCACGGGTCCGGTGCAGCATCGCGTTCAACATTGTCATGGGAGGTTGTGTAGAGGATGTTCAACGATGGAAAAAAGAGCCGAAGCAGCTCATGGTCCCTGTACACTCAAAGGACGAGCGACCTTGAAGCAATCGAACCAAAAAGAGTATATCTCACAAAAATTTATGAGGATACGACACCAACTATCACCGGCGACGTCATCGTAATGGATGTCACGTGCCAGGAGCTACTCGGGAACCCGGCATCAAAACTCTGAACTCATACGACAGCGCCGGGCTCGGTTGTAGATTCACCGGCAACTATATCTAGATAAGTCGATCTTCTGTGTACCAATGGAAATGAATCCGTGGAATTCTATTATATACCAATAACTAATCGGAGTGGACATCGGGCCGAGCTCGAAGAAAGCCTCAAAAGCCCAAGCGCATGTATGAAAAGGAGCAACATAGCAACCACCCATTCCGGTCTCGGAAGTAAAAATAAAAGAAGCCATTCCCCACGGAATGCTTCATGTGCAGAGGAAAATAAATAAACGCCGACCTCGCTTGACATGCAAAAAAAAAAAAAAAAAAAAGATTTCCCGTGTACGATGAATGATGTGGATAACGCGAGCTCAGTCTCAATCTAGGTCCTCGTCCGGCTCAGCGCTAGGCTTCTTCTTACCGGTTGAACTCTTCCGGCCCTTGAGCCGCTTGCTGAGGTTAGAGCTGGAGACGGAGCTCTTGCGCTTCGTGGGCCGAGGAGCCACCGTCTCGTCGAGATCTCCAACAGCGTCCAGGCCGTCCCCTTCTGCGTCCTCGTCTCCATCCACCCTGAACTCCTCATCGATGGAGAGTAGGGTTGCAAACTCTCGACATTTTTGGTGCATCGTTTCCTCGTTGTCTAGGGCTGTCATATTTCGGGCAACGGCTTCCCAGAACTTGTCACCGGTCACACCGTGCACCTTGGTGGCAGTTTTATTGGGTTCCTTCGTTGCAGGTTTCCCTTCTTTGTTCTTGCTGTGGGAATTTATTCCGTAGAGACGACGAAGGTAGGTTCGAGCTTCCCAGAGCATTGACAATGATGCTGCAGCAGTTGCCAACAATCTCAATGTGGCAGGGTTCGCTTGCCGCGGTGTGATTGTCGATTGAGGCATCTCAGGCGCAAACCCTGGCATCATGTTATTTGAGGCATCTGCGTCTAACTGAGGTGGACCGATTGGGGTGGGGGATATATCCGTCTCAATCGCGTGTGCAATAATAGTGCCCGTTGAAGAAACGATACGCTCCATACACGCGATCGTTGGCACAAGTTCGGCCAATTGACCGTAGTCGAAAAATGCCAGGTTTTGGGAGATGAAGCGTGCCAGTAGAAGATGTTCTGGAGGGTTGCCAGTTACATCCAATTTTTTCGGATCGAAGTTGACTTTGGAGCAAAGGTTCGCGAGGAACTTTTTCTGGTAACGGCTGTTGCTGATTTTGACAATTTCAAACAACGGCGCAATCTTCGAGACATAAGGCCGAGGACTAGCGCCATTGGAGTCGCCAACAATATCACGTTGGTAATAGAACGCCTCTTGCACAGCCCGCATGTATTCTCGCTCAAACATAGATTCATACTGTTGGTGGAGCATTTTGTGAGTGTCAAACGCGATTTTCGCAATTGCAGGGACTGTAGAAGTCTCCAAAGAGACCAGAACGCCCGCGCATTCCTTTGGATGCACTAAGCCCTGTCTATTGATACTCGCAATGAGTTCAATGGCAGTCAGTGAATACGTATCCTGGCGCGATTGTGCCACCTGAAGCATGTTTGAGAGAAAGTTTTGGGCGATCAAAGCAGCAGCGCCATCATTGTCGCTGGCCCTCAAAGAACCACCCAATCTGGTAGTGTCTTCCTGAGCGGCGGCCTCTGCGGTTGGCATGACGGCCTTTTCCGACTTGCCTTCATGGATAGCAAAGAAGTCTGCAAAAGATCGGAGAACGATGTTTTGCAGACTTGGGGCATCTTCTTTGAAAACCTGAGCGAAAGTCTGCCGTGTGCGTTCTCTGCCGAATTGACCAGGCCAAGACTGGCATATAGATCCCAGGCTTTCGAGAGCCATGACCCTCAGTTCAAAGGGTGAATTCGATGCAGTGAAGGGAATAATAGAGTCAACCATCAGCCCCGCAACCGAGCCACCGGTCCAGGTGGGGA